GAAAAAAAAATGAATTTTTTAGATTTTTTGGATTTTTTTTTATTTTTAAAAATATATTAAAAAATAGAGAGTTGATATGATTTAAATAAGTCAATAAATTGACTTTCTTAATTGCCAAAATAGACTATAATAGATTACGCGATGGATACAAGGTTAATAATGTAATGAGAAGTAATTAATTTTTGGTACTTTCTTGATAATGTAACTAGTTTATCTTCAAATTACACTTATGGATATTAACTTTATTGTTAATGCTAATTGAAAAGTATAGATTTTAAAATTTTCGAAGAACATGTATATTCACTAAATTCTAGCTTGTTCATTTTTTCGTTGGCCAGTGGCGGCGACGACACCTACATGCTCATGGGTCCATCCCCCATCAAACAACCAAAGTTATTATTTTTATTATTGATATTTTATTTTATATACTCTGATTGTTTTAAAAAAATTAAGGGACCATTAAATAAGATAAAATGTTTAATACAACGGTGATATTGTGTCATTAGTGTCATCATTCAATAATATATTGTCATTTACTTTCTTATGTATATATGGTAAAGTAGTTATTTTTTGAGAGTGGAATTCACTCTCTACAGGTAATTTGGTTTTTGTAAGTAATAGCACATGCCAGTGATGATATGGTATTACCGTGACACTAAATTTTTATTTTGTTTGACAAATAGTTTTCAAAAATAGTTTTTGATTTTTGATTTTTCATGTTTCTTGTCTTTGTGAATTTTTAAATATTTTGAGCAGGTTTTTTTTTTTTTATTTTTAGATTCACTTAATCTTGAATACACTTCAAAAAAAAGAAGATATTTTTAATTTTTTTTCAAAATATAAAAATACCAAAATTCAATATATTTTTCACAAATATTTTATTTTTTAGGTGAATCTAAAATGACTAGAATATTAAAAAAAATTCAATAAAGACAACAAAACATAAAAATAAAAAAAAAACTCAAAAGCTATTTTTAAAAATTCAAAACCAAACGGAATAAATGTGTTTAGTTTAATTTTTTTTTTTTGTTTTTGGTCTTGAAGTGACCCATATATAAAAATTCTTAAAGTCGTCAGTATATGGCTTGCCACAACTTGAAAGGTTTAGGTTGTTGAAGGATTGAAAATAGGTATTTTGAGTCCAAAAAAAGAAAATAGGTATTTTGTTAGGTGAGTTATGCTCAAGTCAATCTAAAATATAGTTATTTTTATGTATAAGAGGGAGAAATTTGTAAATATAATTTGGGTATGATGCTTTTTTATGGGGTGAGTCTAAATGCACTCCAAAAAAAATTAGGCTGAACACTCCATTCCTTTCAACACCCCAATCCTCATTTTGAGTTTTGAATATTTTTTGGTTGGATACCCCAAAATCTCAATTAATTTCACTTTTATCCTTTTCACTTACCTGTGCTGAAATCTCCACCACTGCTGCCTCCTCTGTCGCCGCCACCGCCTCTCACTGCCTCCTTCTCCTTCTCCACCACCTCCGCCTCTCGCCGGAGCACACCATAAGCACATATGTTCTTATGTTAATTTGAAGAGAATTGTTATTGAAATATTGTTAAGGTCTTGATTTATCTATGTTTTTTCTCAAAATTCAACCATTTGTTGCTATTTTGAATGATATATTTAGTCATGCTATTTTATTGCTATTCATCCCAGTTCAATTCAAATTGAACTGTGATGTTAAAGTTTTGATTTATCTCGATGAAACAGAAAAGAAGATGGTGTGTAGTGGGGGTTCAAACCCAGATTGATCAGTAATGTGCAGAGCCTGATACATTTTGCCACAGCATTTCTGTTGTTTAAATAATAACTGGATGAGAATAATAGCATGACTGACAATAGCATAGAAGTAACCAAAATCTAACATTATCATTATAACCCCGAATTGTGTTTGTGGTGTTATATATCTCGTATTCCATGGGCTGAGCTGAGCCCATGATCTTAAAGTCCTGAGGTCTGGAACATCATTGGTTGATAACTGAGTAGCATGACTTACTTGATCCATTAAGTATGGCTAAACACGTTCAAGATGGCCGGAGGTCGCCGGAGCTGGAAGGGTGGCCGGAGTTAGGGTTAGAGTATGATTATTTGGTAATTTGATTAATGGGTAGAATGGTATTAAAAAAGTTGATAATTAAAGTATCCAACTTAATTTTTGAGGTGCAGATAGAACTAACATTTTTTATTTATTTATGTAATGACGGATCCTTCTTAGTGCACTCCTTATATGGTGAAGCATTGAGACAAAATTGATGACTATGATAATTTCTAGTACATGAATGGTCTAGAGTGGTATGTTGCTCGATAAATAAAAAAGTTTTTATATCGTAATGGTTACGTATATATAGAAAAAATTTATGGTGAATTCTTAAGAAGATACACTGTAAGAAACATTACATTAATTTGTGATGTTAATTTAATCACTTTGTGCTAAAAGTTATAAACCATTGTAATTATATTATGAATAGTGATAAAAATATTACGAACTCTTTGTGTAGAGAAAATGTTACAAATTTTTATTAAAAAAAATTATGATCTTATGTAGGTAGAAGTCCGCTGTCTTTGTGGGAAAAAATATTTAGTGATTTTTGAATAATTCATGTGGTGCTCGAATTATATTTTTATTGATTAAAATAAGAGAACTTAATCTTTTTAAATTGATTTTGAAGAAATGACATAATAAATATCATGTGATGAATGATAAGTATTACTTTAAGCCTACCAAATAGCCCTCTCTCTGTGTCTTGGTGGAGTTCACCTTGCCCAAATTGGGTCATGAGAGGCCACTTTGATATGCCACCATTATAATTTTTATTTGTTTGTAAGTGTTTGATTTGTGGGTAGGGGCCCATATATAGCTTAACCTTGGACCAGAGTGTGGTAAAAGCCACCAGCAAAGTCAAGGGGTGACGTGGGGTTGGTAGGAAGAGAACACTGGGAAGAGGGCTGGAGGCTAAGGTGATTCATCACTTTCAGTTAGGCCCATTTTCATTTATTAAGCTGCCAACCCAATACACACAAATACCAGGACAGATCAACCCACATCACATACATGAGCTCAATCTCTCTCTCTCTCTCTCTCTCTCTCTCTCTCTCTCTCTCTCTCTCTCTCTCTCTAGATTTGACTAAACTAAAGGTTTTAAAAACAGGATTAGTGGGTGAACCGGAAAAGAAAAATTGGATAGACGGATCATCGGATTAATTGACAGTTTGAATCAGATTGAACCGTAATGTTTTAATTCTGTAATAAATATATTACAAAAATTTTGCTTAAATAAAAAAATAGGTATTGAATATACACTGTATATTTATATAAATATATTTATGAATTATATATGTTTATACATTTAATTTTATACTGATCCTGTTTATAAAAATGTTAATTATATTAGTATATGATAAAAAATAATTAGAATACAATAAATAAAATATATCTAACTTATCAACAATGTGTATTATTGGCTTAGTGATAAGTAACAAGAGTCTCATGCTTGCTTGTAGATTGTATTCGGATGGGAATCTAAACCAAAACGTGACATAAAGGGAAGACAAAAGAAGATGATAGAAATTCTAAAAGGTTGGGCCAAAGTTCAATCATATTAGAAATTATAGTATTTATTTTGAAAAATTATTTACAAATTTTCTTCAGAATTTAATGTATAATGTAGATTTATATTTGACAAATTTGATTGATATATTTAAAATTTAGAATATTTTTTTTTAAAAAAAATTCTTTTTTGACCATGTTGTCTTTTTGGTTTTATATATCAGTGATTGTTTTGAATATGTTTTCCTGGTTATAATTGTAAGGGGGCCCTTTGCAAGTGTGTATATATGCATTTGAGACAGCGAAATGTAGGCATAACATTTATATTATTTAAAGAAAGGTTCACATGTTTCCATGTTTCCCTTGTTTTTATTCGATCATCTTATAAGTAAAGTAATTGTTAGGAAGAATAAACAATCTTGGTTTTTATGTGAAAATTGAATTTCATAGTGCAATTTGCATAGTGTGGCTCATCAGATTATGAAAATATTTACAAATTAAGGAGTTAGCCTCCGTTTGGGAAGTGGGTTGGCTTTTTGATTTTTTGACCTAGGGCTGAAAAGGTTTGGGAAGAATTTTTTGACTTTTTGACTTTTTTGACTTTTTTTGTGAGAGAGGAGTATAATGATTATGGGTTGGATTTGATATTTTATTTTTTGTGACTAAAATATCCTATTTTGTTTTTTGTGACTATTTTAGCCCCTAACCCACCAAAACCAACTTCCCAAACTATGCCTTAATAATTTTAAGGAGAACTACACCTAGGTGGGAGAAGGGGAAAAAAATTACAAACACATAGAGTGTAACTTATAAGTGTGTTTATGATGGGATACAAATGAAAACTGTTGGGGTGCAAGTATCACTTGGACCCCTTCATGTGTTGGTGAATTTTTTTTCTTCTTACACACCGGCATGTAGTTCTCCCATAATTTTACTCTCAGCATGAAAAAAAAATATTATCACAAGCAAATAACAGGAATTGAGATATTAGAGTTAATTATAAATTAAATTTTTATATTGATTCACATGAGTTGAGTGACTTTAACTAATTTTACAAATAGATATAGAATAAATGGACTGTTATATTAATTAAAAGAAATAAAACAAAAAATCACTTTAATCATATTTTATTTTGGTTATGTGAGATAAGAATTATCTCACAAAAGTTTACCCTATCATAAAAAAAAAAAAAAAAAAAAAAACTCAAAATTAAAAATTAAAAATTTTAAATATATAATTAGGTCCCACATCCAACCATGCTCTTCAATTAATTTACATGTATAGTCTGAAATTAAATTCTAAATTACATTAAAAAGTGAGTTCATAACTAACCTAACTAGCTATAGAACCTACTGAATCTAGATCTGCTTGATACCATATAAGTATAAAATAACAATAACAACAACAAAACAATATATTCACATGACTTTAGTAAAGATGGTAGTAATCAAAAGCTCATGAATTGTTTTTAACAATTTAACTCAGCCATATCATTTACATACATTAATTATATTACAAAATACAGACCGGGGTTAGAAACAAAACAAACCCTCACAGATCTGAAAGTTTGAGTTCAATCTAAGAAAAACCATCATATCAAAATCAAAAATAGACCCAAATGCAAACTTCAAAGGAAAAAAAAAAAAAAAAAAAAAAAAAAAAAAAAAACATTTGCTTTAACTTGAAGTCTGCAAATTCAAGAAACCATTGAAGTTGGTACCTTCAAACAAGGCCTTAGCATTCATCTCCCTATCAAACCTCCAAATGTAGTTCAGACCCACCAACAACTCAGTAATGGCAGCCTCAGTTTTCTCTTTGCTTGCGAAAAATAGGGTTTGCAAGAGAAGAACATTAGTCTTTGGCATCAAATTTTGATGCTCAAAGCTCCTTTCACTTTGCCACTTAATCATGTTATGTGCCAATGGTGACAACCATCCCAAGATCTTCCCCAAAGCCTCTCTCCATTCTCCGGCAAGTACTGAATCACTAGCCGAAAACCCTACCCCTTTCAATCTAGCCCTCAACATTGATCTTATACTACTTGGTAGCATTGAATAAAGATCGTCTCTAGCATCAACACCCACCATGTGAGGTGACCTTATCATCTTTTCCATCACAATTATCAAGTTTGCATAGTGTAGAGCTAGAGCAGCAGCACCTAAAGTGCTCGAAGGCGGTTTTAGTATCTTCGAATTTGATTCGAAAAACCCATAAGTTGAATCTTTATTTTCTTGATTCTTACAGCTTTTCATCAATGGTCCTGATACGAAATTGCAAGCAGTGGGATTTTCAGATGGGTAGACAGTAGCTGAAGCAGATAGACTTCGAGGCAAAGAAGTTGGATATCCATTTCCGATCCCGAAAACAAGTTTGATTCTTGCTAAAACTGTGAAGATCGACCTAGCAAGCAATGAAGAAGCTGTATCAAAACTTCTATTCCATATAGACCTCTCTTTCAGATACTTAACCTCTTGTCTTTGCCACAAGATCTTCTGCTGCAAATCGATAATCTTCTGTTGTTTGATGGACACTTCGTGTTCTTTATCTTTACACTGTAACTGTTTTCTCAAACTGTTTTCGAGTATCGACAGCTCTTCCATCTCTCTATAAAGCGTTGTTGTTGCGGTTATTAGCTTATCGATCTTCTTGTTCTTTATCTCGATCTCTTTCCAACTCAAAACCCAATTGTGAGGATCGCGACCCGTGTTAGCAAAATCAATGAACAACCGATCAAACGATCTGAGACTCGAGTCCTCGCATTTCTTAGATATGGTAGACACAGACTTAGCGATGAGTCGGAGATTTTCAACGATCTCAGCGCAGGCGAGGCCGAGGAGCAAGGTTTCGTCGTTAGAGACGATCTTGCGGACTCCTTCGAAGGAGAGAGCTTCGTTTCTGAGGCGAATTATGTTCTTGTCGGAGAGAGACTGCCACAGATGGAGCAGCTTCGACATGAGGCCGGCGATCTCGAAGGCTAAAACTCCGACTTTGGATTTCTTGATGAGTTTTGTGGGTGGTGCTGCAGTGCCACGTACTGAATCCAAACTGTTGGATATGGCTGTTTTTACTTTAATTAGCCATGTTTCGAGAGCCATTTTTTTTATGGGATCGATCAGAGTAGAGAGAATTTAGTGTAAATATTTTGGATGGGTGTGTTTTCAGTGAGGAAGAAAAAGATGAAGAAATTAATGGAATTGTATGTGTGTTGGGTTGAGAGAGAGCGAGAGAGAAATAATTGAAGAGTGGAGTTTGCAGAGAGATAAGGATAAAAGAAAGATTGATGGAAAGAAAGAAAGGAGAGCTTGTAATTGCGGAAGGCTCGTGGGATGTTGAAAGCATTACAAATAGAGTAATAAAATGAGAGAGAGTGAGAGAAGCTTGTTTTCGTTTGATGAGATTTGTTGTTGTACCCACACGCACTAAGAGAGCGTGCGGCGATTCCTATGAATTTGAGTACGTTGAGTTTGTTTATTTCAAATTTTTTGAATTTTTTTTTTAAAAACCACTTTACATATTAATCAAATTTTTTTTTTACTCATCTTTTCTCTCTTTTTTTCAATTATTTTTCTCTTACATGCATCTAGGATGATTTGAAATGATTTAAATAAGTATACTTTTTAATTTTTTATGAAATATAAGTTGAGTTTAAAGTGATATAATAGAGAGGTGATATGACTCAAATAAAATTATATGGCTTAAATAGAAATAATGACTTTTTGACTTTTTAACTTTTTTAAGTTATGACAAATAAGGCCTTACTCAATTACAATAAAATATCAAATTATTCTAAACTCTCAAATTCTAAAACTATTTTTAAAATATATAATTAAACAAATTAAAAAAATTTCTAAACTTTCTCCCCAATTTTTTTTTTTGAAAATTTATCTCAAAATACAAACCAAACCCACCATTGTGTCAATAAATACCAATTCAAATGAAGAGATGTCTCAAATGAAACCCTGTCAATCTTAAATTTTAATTTATTTTACTCCAGTGTTTTATCTTCTGTAATTGAGAAAATTTATTGTTGAATTACAATTTTCTATGTATTTTTTTTGTATTTTTGGTATTTAGTGAATTTTTAAAAGATTTTTTTTTACAATTTTTTTACTTTTTAGGTGTATTTATGTTAGGTGTGTCTAAAAAGTAAAAAAAAAAATTTGCTTAAAATATTAAAAAAATTCAGTAAAAACAAAAAAACACGAAAAATAAGAAAGTAAAATTTTCTGAAAAGTGTTTTGGAAAACTGGAAACCAAGCAAGTGATTTTTTTTTTTTTTTTTGATAATTTAGAAAAAAAAAATATTCTTTGATAATTCATTTTTTTAGAAATATCAATTACCATAATTATAGTTATTAATGAATTTAAAAGAAGGGCAAAATAGTAAATTTATATTATTGTATTCCTTGATTTTTGAGAAGGGAATAATATTTTGGAATAGTGAAAAATAGAATAAAGGATTAATATTTTGGGACGGAGATTGTAATTAAATTAAATATTTTTTAATCGAAAAATTTATTAGAAAATTGTCTTTCAATATTTGTATCACAATTAATTTATAAGATATTCTTGTATTCTAATAAGTCCTATTATTTTAGACATTTGATCCACTAAATCCTAATTATCATATTTAAGGCATTTTATGAATAATTTTATCCTTACAAATATTTTTTGAACCCTAGCAACTTGATGATGTGAATATTCACATTAAATAAATTTGACAATGTGAATGTTTATCTAATTTCACATCTTAGACCATTCACACTGCCAATGTGAACATTAATGTACACTTCACTCTATTATTATTAGGAATATTTTAGTAACTATGTCACCATAGGACTTATTGAAACATAATAAAATAATTCAGACTGAGTAAAAAATAAGTCAGTTAAGAGAGATTTATGAATAAATGTCTATTTTTAATTTGATAAGTATCAACTAATAAATGATATGAAATAATACTTTAAAAATACTAAATAATTACACATAGTTATGGGCCATTGACTAGATGTAAGTGTATCTTGAAAGCATTATCCAGTCCTACGAAAAATTCACACTGACGGTATACCCAATAAATAGCAGGGGGTTAAGAATTATATAACGTTAAAAATCAAAAAATGATAAAAAAAAATGACATAATCCCATTTGATGGGCACACGACCAGATAGTTTTCTTGGCTCATAGAAAAATTTCTAGTGTATATTGGGTAAATTGCACTTTACTAGGTTGAGAAAAAAAAATGGAAACAGTGTAAATCGGTCTTAATCAGTTTAAGGGGCAATTTGGGAAGCTAAGCTAAGCTAGAAGCTAGTTTTTAGCTTTTAACCTGTTTTGAGTTATATCATCCCTCACAAATTAATTATGATTTTTAGAAAAAAATGAATGATGTTTTAAAATTTAATTTATAATTTCATAATTATAATTCTATTTACAACGAAACTAAAACAAAATGTTTATATATATAGTACTGTTTCTTGGCTTCACAACTCACTTAAACAAAAAATAATAAAAAGTTATTTAGTGATGAAAAAATTTGTATAATTTTTAGTATAAATTTACCCCATTTAACTATTGTTCTGTATCACTTTACCCTCATCAAGTAAAAATTATAACAACTAATCTCCCCAATCTATTATTATTTTTTTTAATTTAAACCTTTATGATTAAAATACCATTTCATCAATAGGATAAATTACACTTTACCCCCATGAACTAACACCCAATATTACTTTACCTTTTGGAACTATCACCCAATATCACTTTCAATTTGGACCTTCTTATTATTTTCATTTTATCAGTAAATTAATTTTTAGATTTTAGAAAAAAAATATAAAATAAATTTTAAAAATCAAACCAGATAGAGCGAAAATATTTATGAAGAAATTTTAAAAAGTTCACTAAAGACAAAAATAAAAAAATATACTAGTTTTATTTTTTATTTTTTTGCCTTTAGTATTTTTAATTTTTTTTTTTACTAAAATATGAAAATTTTTACTAAAAACAAAAAAAATATGAAAAATTATATATTGAAAAAACCTTTAAAAATGAATTTTAAATTTAAAATTAAACTTTTTTTTTTTTAGTTGAGGGGGTAGAGTATTTATTGAGTGAGTGATAGTTTAAGGGTGGTAAAGTGCAATTTAATCCTATAATTAAAAGGGTATTTTCATCACTAATATCTAATTTTTTTTAAAAAAAATTTAACAATTAAGCGGAGTTAAGTGCTACCGGATAGTAATTTAGGGAGTAAAATGTAGTTTGTTCTAATTTTTATTACCTAAAACCATTTGAATTCAAGAAAAGTAGGTGAAGGTCTATTACACTTGTAAATGTGTTCTTATATAGTGATAGAATTAGTTCTAAACAATTATTTAAATAATTGTTGTTTGAAAAATTATGAAAATTTTGTTGAGGTTTGAGTAGGTTCGTTATATTTTGTGAACATGTTGTGAAAGATGATTGATTTCTAAAAATCATGGTACCAAAGCGAATCGAAGTGAACTGTGTTGCGATGGTTCTGCTTGGTTTGGTTTGAAAGTTTTATACGTTAATTTGATTTGATTTAGTTTAGTTCGATTTCAAAATTTCATAGAACCAAAGGTATGGTATGATCTTTAGTTTCTTTTTAAGTCAAACCAAACCAAATCATACCATACTCCCCCTAACTCAGGTAAACTATCACTTGATATCATTTCACCCTTCAACAATATATATATATATATCATTTTATCATCTTAAATTATTAATTTTTATCAATATAAATCCTCAGTTAATGATCCATTATGGAAAATTACCACATGTCTTACATATGAAGTATTGTGAAATGCTTCTAAATAACCTCTCTTTCTTTTTTTCTTTTTCTTTCCTTTGTTTCCTTTCTCATTTTCCTTCTTTTTCCTAGCCACGATAGCATCAACTGCCTACAATATAATTGATGTTGTAGATAGAACAAAAGAAGGATAATATTTATAATAAAAAAAAAAGTAATTTTAAAATTTCACAATATTTGAGATGCTATCTGCAAGTTACATATCAATTTCTATTAGTTACATAATATATATTGCAATGACATAAATTGATAGCTCAAGATACTGAATCATAATATTTTTTAGTTAATCAAGATAAAGCGATACTAAGGCCAAGTTTGGCATACCTCAAATAATCTATATTTTTATATTTTTATCTTTTTTTCATCACATCACCTCTCTATTTTTCTGTATATTTTTTTATAAAAAGATAAAAAATACACTTATTTAGGTCATTCCAAACCATCCTGAGGGATAAAATAGCCTATGCCTTGATGGTTACAAGGGAGAGGTTGGGAATTCACCTATCACTCAATGTCTAAGCTTCTCTCCTATCTACAAATTGAATTAGATAATCTAGATCATACTGGGGCCTACGAAATGCAGTACTAAAGTGGCGAGGTCAGAAAGCCCTATCCTTTTTATTTTTGGTTGGGACACATGGTCATCTCGGTTGACTTTGACTTGACCTTGTTGAGTTTGGACCTAAGAATGCTTCGGGTTGGGTTCGGAAAGTAGCCCAGAAATTCCTGTTTTTGCTTGGTTGCGCCGGTAAGGTCGTGATGTCACAGGTGGTGTTGTTGTTCATGCTCGTGAACATGGAGACCACAACCGCGAAGGAGTGGAGGTCGCGCTTCCGAGAGGCTGCGACCAAGCCATGATGGAATTCACCTCCCAGTACTTTTGCCTTGGTGTTAGGCTTGCGCACACGGTGGTTTGGGTAGCACCCATGACCTGGTGTTTTTCTTGACTCCGCTCGTGATGCTTGAGACCGCGGTTGCGAACGGGAGGTTCGCACCCGTAATGTGTTGCTTTGCGCCTATGATGAGTCGTCTATATAGTCGTCTGTGCATGTAAAAAGTCACTTTTTGAGATCTTTTATATCTCTTCTCTCTTCCATCTACCATTTTCTAGTTCTTCAATCCTTAAATCTTTGGATTCATCTACCTTAGGGCAAAAACATCCTAGTTCCATATACCGAAATGTAGAGGGTGACAAGGGCTTTGTTTTAATATGAGCATATTGTTTTTCGGCGCTGTGGATTTTTGGATTATCTTCTCTTCACTTTGAGTGGTGGGATTTTTTTTGCTCCTTTGCTATACCTTGTCATAGATAGACTTGTAGTAGTTTTTATTGCATAAAAACATGATTTGCTATGCAATTTCTAAAAGCATGAGTTTGATAGATAGGGTTTTGGGAGTTTATGGGCTTAAACTATGTTTTATTGTTGATTTTTGGAAAATGGTGTTACTTGAGCATCTTTAGGACGTTATAACTTGAATGCCCTAATTTATGTTATTTGGTTGTGAATGGGATTTATCAATGT